TCTATCCGCTACTGAATTTTGTTTTGATGGTATGTGTTCCGCGTGTAACCAAATGTTGTTTTTCTATGCCCAATACCATATCTGTGTCGCTATTGTATTAAATCTTTGATATTCAATGCCTCCCATTTTATTAATGTACGCGATAGCTGTGGTGTTGTCTACCCTCAATAAAATATGACAGTTTTTAATTTCTGCTTCAAAAGAAAGTAATGCTAACCAGATTGCTTTTAGTTCTAATAAATTTATAAGTTCTCGTCTTTCCTTTTCCGTCCAAAATCCATGAATTTCCTTATTCTCTAATACTGCTCCCCAACCTGAAGTTGATGCATCTGTAATAATTACTTTATCTATCGGTGTTTTTGAAATTGGCAAACGCTTTGGGAAGATTCTTTTCCCATCAGACTAATTCAGTTTTTGCTTTCACCGAAATTGACATTTTTTCTTCGTAATTTATACCATTAAAAATCAAAGCTAGCTCTTTTTCTCTTTCAAGCGTCTTAATGTGAGCCCAACCATATTGTACTCGAGGGCATGCTGCCACTAAATTTCCTATTAGCTGTGCAAAATCACTTATTTTAGACTCTGATCTGTTAATCATTTTACTTATTAAATTGAGAATTTTTTGTTTCTTCTCCTTGGGAAGCGATATTATATACTTGTCTGAGTCAATTTCAAAACCTAAAAACCTACACTGCTTTGACGGAATTAATTTACATTTTTTTTCATTTAAAATAAAGCCTAATGACTCTAGTAAAATCCTCGTTAGTTTAATATTTGTGTAACATTCTTCATAATTTTTCCCTATTAATAACATGTCATCTAAGTAGTCTACTGACACTAAACCTTGCGCTCTCAAATGGCTCATGACAGGTCTCATGATTTTTGTAAATACATAGGGGCTAGTACATAATCCGAAAGGGAGTACCGTAAATTCGTATATATTACCTTGGAATTTGAAACGTAAGTATTTCCTACAAGATTTATCTACTGATATAAGGTAATACGCATCTTGTAAGTCTAATGATGCCATAAAATTATCCTGCAGAATTAATTTTGAAGCTGTTCTTAAATCCTGCATTTTAAGGGGGTATATTTTGTGAGGGCAAAATCAAGGGTCATTTTTGACAATTTATTTAAGAAAGACAAAGCGATATTTTTAAATTCGGTTATTTAGACATCTTAATATAAGTCTTGAGGTAAAAGAAAAAAATTTTTTTTTAATCATTTAGAAATAAAATGGCGGCGCAGTGGCTGATGGAAGAAAACTCCTTTTTTTTCGTAGTCCTCCACGGGTGAAATCGTACAGGTCACAATTTTCAACTTAGGACAAAAAATAAAAAAGATTTAGAAATTAGATATAAAAAACTAGAAAAGTACGTAGGATTTTCCAGAAATATTGATTTTTAAAAAAATAGCGTCATGTGGAAAAAAACATGTATTTTTTACAGAAAAAATTGGTCGGTTTTTCGATCATAAAATCGTTCAATTTTAATCATCGAAAAAATCCTACGTACTTTTCTAGAAAATGTAATTAGGAAGCTACAGCTAAAGTTTGAAGTCGATCGGTTCAAAACTGAAGGCGCTATGATTTCGCCCGTGTCAAAAAACATAGTTTTGAGAAAAACGCGTTAAAGTTTCAAGTACTATAAAATCATGGAAAGGAGGGAGGGAGGGAGGGAAGGGGAGGAAGGGAGAGGGAGGGAGGGGGAGGGAGGAAGGGGGAGGGAGGAAGGGAGGGAGGGATAGATGGATGGATGAATGGATGGATGGATGGCTCTCAACAATATTAAACAGTAGATATAAACAACTTAAACAACTTAAAACTACCGCACTTATAGATTAACGCGCTACAAACTAACATACTTAAAGCACCCCGAAACAGCAAGTTGATACTTTTAAAATCAGTGTTTAATGATCGGCCTGACTGGCAATATATTAAAAATTATAACGACGTTTCGACCTCTATTTTGGGTCCTTATCAAGTTTATGCTGAAAAATATAAATTGCCGGTAATACATATAAAAAAGGGAACAATGCAAATTACGTATTCTACTTACATGGATCAATGTGCGTCAAACAATATAAAATTAATCATCGTTACGTTTTAACAAGGCGGATGGAAAACAGATATAAACTTTGTGAGGCATGACCGTCACGTATAGCGCCTGACGAACGACTGATATACATTGTGTCGTCAAGAATAATCACAAATACGTATAGCGCCTGACGAACGACTGATATACATTGTGTCGTCAAGAATAATCACCAATACATAAAATAACATAGAGTGTAAAGTTTAAAGAGTAGCGATTATACGATCGTAAACCAACGGTAAGTTTTCTGTGTCCTTCTGCAAATTTATAGCGTCTGTATGCTTTTTGATTAATATCATTTCAGCCGTTTCACGTTTTTTGACATACTGTTCCCTGTGCAAGATCGTATCCTTTGACTTTCAGATTGCGATATTTCTACGTTATGTCGATGACATTTTTATGTGTATTCCGCGATCACGACTTGACGATGTTGTCCGTACCTTCAATAATTACCATCCGCGTCTCAAATTCACGTATGAATTAGAGAGAGACAATTGTTTGAATTTCTTGGACACGTCGGTCTTCAGAAACGATAATTGTTTAGCCATCAACTGGTATCGTAAACCAACGTTTTCTGGCCGTTATATTAATTACTTCTCCAGTCATCCTTTAAAATATAAGATTAATACCATCATCAACTTGGTCGATCAGGCCATACTGCTGTCGGACGTACAGTTTCATAACGATAACATCAATTTGATAAAAACTATTTTACTGAACAATTGCTTTCCGGCACCTCTCGTTGATAAACATATTCGAAGAAGACTTGCTGAAATTGATAAACGGTCAAATAACGATGAATCTGACAACCGTATAAATAGCGCTAATATCCCTGATCTCAAAAATTATATTCCTATCCCGTATGTTAAAACTTTTAGTGAGGGTTTACGACGCATTTTCAGCAATTACGGTTTGAGTACCTTGTATACCGTTCCTAAGATACTAGACGCACTAATTAAAAAAGGGAAGGACAAATTAGAGATCATGAAACACACGGGCGTTGTCTACAAATTAGATTGCTCGGATTGCAATGCTTGTTACATTGGCCAAACCAAGCGCCACTTAGAAACTCGCGTTAAAGAGCATCGTGCAGACATTAACAAGCACTTCAGTCAGCAATCGGTTGTAAGCAAGCACAGAATCGATTTTGACCATAATTTTAAATGGCAAGAGGCCACGATCTTGCACAGGGAACAGTATGTCAAAAAACGTGAAACGGCTGAAATTATATTAATCAAAAAGCATACAGACGCTATAAATTTGCAGAAGGACACAGAAAACTTACCGTTGGTTTACGATCGTATAATCGCTACTCTTTAAACTTTACACTCTATGTTATTTTATGTATTTGTGATTATTCTTGACGACACAATGTATATCAGTCGTTCGTCAGGCGCTACCCGCGAAAAACGATTGTATTAAAACCGTATTAAAAGCTTATATGAATTTATTAAGAATCTTATTAGAATCGAATATGCAAATCAATTATAATTTAAATATGTCATATTTAAATCAAATTAAAGTACCCCATCTTATTTAATCTATATATGGATTAAACTGGACCTTGCTTTGTTAAAATATGCAAAATCAGCCGCACAGACCAAAAGAAATGCAGAGTTAATATGGTTTTAATTTGCCAAATGTGGATTAAATATGGTAATAAATTCAAAATTAATTTGTTAAATATAATCATATTAGTCAAATATAATCATATATAAGTCAAATATAATCATATAAGTCAAATATAATCATATAAGTCATATAAGTCATATAAGTCAAATTTGTCATATATAAATGTTATTTGATCTTATTAGAATTTTATATAATTTTGTTTTAAATTTAATTTATACTAATTTAAATTTAAACAAGATTATATAAAATTCTAATAAGATCCAAATAATATTTATATATGACTGTAACTCAATCTTATTTGATCTTAATGCTGTAATTATAGGGGGTTATAATCCAATTAAAAAATCCAGTAAAATCTAGAAATAAAACTTTTATTTAAGAAAGATATACAATATGCGTAAAATATATATATTTTGATGAACACAACACATAGAATATTTGAAATAGATACAAAAATAAAACTTAATAATCATTTAAAATATGATTAATTTGTAAACGTAGATAAATGGCACACGACATATCTGCAATCTTTTCCCGTCCATTTTAGTATGTTGAATTAACATATCTCCTCTAATGAGTAAATTAAATTCAATTAAAGTAATAAAAAATTAAAAAATAATGCTTCATACACAATCTATGGACAAATAAGTATACAAAAAAATTTTCAAAATAAAAATGGAAGGTCTGTCCACAAGGGAACTAAATGCCAAATATTAAAGTAGGAATCTTATTAGGTCCCGTAAAAGTAAAAAAGTTATAAATGGGACGAGTGAGAAGCAGCCCTCTTTGTCAATCTACTGCCTCTGGTTCTGTTGTTGCAATATCGCTTGCTCCCTCTTACGTATTTCACATAGACGGGTAGACAAAGTTGACCGCAACTCAGACTGTACCTTTTTTGGTCTCATACGCTTTTCTCTTTGCAAAACCAAGACTTTATCTGCATGAAAAAGATGGGAAAGAGATCAATAACAAGAGCATTCAAAATTTTTTTCTATTACTGTATCCCAACACTACTTACTAATAATGGCATCTACTCCTTCAATAGGAAGGGCATTTAAGACCATTAACGGATCCTGTGTGTAAGCTTGTCGCCCTTTGCCTCTGGGAGGCAGCCCTGAGACAGAGCAGCGCATTAACGTGTCTTTGGTGAAGACACCTTCCAACATAGCTCGAAGAGCCTTTGTTGCACAATTCGATTCCTCTGCTTTAGTATAAGCCTTCTTGGTACAGTATATTTGATCTTCTTCAGAAATACAGACACCCTGCAAGGATTAACAATATAGTTAGTTTTCCTTCTTAAAATATTTCTGTAAAATGCCAACACAACATTAGTAACTTTCTCAAAATTCAGTAGCTGTGACATTTGAAAAAAGTTTCCATTCTCTTACACTAGATTATAGAAACTCCTGAATTCCTTACAAAATTTTTATCAAAGATGTAGGAGTGGCAATATGGGTCAGTAAATTTTATATTCAAAAGTTGCTCAGCTCTTGTATCTTGGGACAATCGAATTGATTTTACTTACTCGTTCTGGATTAGTGATGGTATAAATTTGGATCTGATCATTTCCTACATTTTGTTTATTATCATCATTAATGGGTGGATTTACATTACACGTATTAATAGACATATCCTCATGAAATGCATTAATGGGCTGCTGATCCACAATAGATGGGTCTGGAAGATTGTTGGGTCCGTTATTGACATTGCCAAGATTCTCAGGTTTATTAGATTTGACTTCTTGACCATTGCTTCGGGAAGGGTTAGATGAATCATGAGAACCATTACCGAATGAATTCTCTGCATCTGTAGCAAAAAAATGAGCAATTGACTTTTCCATTGACCAATTGATTTCTACAACCTATAGAAAAATCACACAAATGCATGAAATCAGTTGATTTTACCTAAGTAGTCATGTGATGAACTACTTAATTGGGCAAGTAAACTACTGGCCTTGCTAGAAGTGGTTTCAGTAGCATCCTTATTAGCCAGTTTCCGTAACATTGTAATATCAAGCTTGGCAGATAGTTGTCTTATCAACTACACAAAAAATATATAATTTTACAGTATATAGAATATGTCAGAGATCACAAGAAAAGTTAAAAGAAAATTATACTGCTAACCTTTTCTTTCTCAATTTCTCCATCATCAGAATTATCAGTTGAACTACCATAACTGTTTCTACTTTCTGATGAGTTGGAATCCATTTCCTGACAGAATAAAAAATTTTAAAACAGCGGTGAATAAAAAGTTTTATCACTTTGATGAATCGTAACTAACAGCGCGACTTACCTCCACTTCCTTATTATTATCTACATCAGATTCCTCATGAGGCTGAACAGCGTAACGTATTGGCCCTTTTAATTGGTATAGTTTTCTTACCCTAAGAAGATAATAAAGGGCATATCAAAAATTTCAAGAGTTGCTCATTGCATCAATCTCTGATACAGCTTATTATACTCACAAAAACATCATCATCCTCCAGGAGTCGTTTATTGACCAGTTTCTCCATGTTCTCTTTTAATTCAATCCTCTTTTTGTCTTTGGTTATCTGCAAAACCATATGAGAACAAATTACTTACTTTTAACTGATGGTTACTCTCACCGTTTATTTGTGAGTTAATCTCTGTTGATGGCCAGCTGCATTGGTTGGATGTTAGTTTTTTATTTAGTACAAACATGACAAAGTTAAAATAACTAAGATCAATTGCTTTTCAGTTCAGGAGCTCGATTACATATCTTGAAACGAGGTAAAAATAATGCGGTAAAAACAAAAACAAAAAAATTAACAAAAAAATTGTAAAAAAAAACTGCCGACTGCTGCCTAAACTAGGTTAAATTAAATGCAGAAAATAAAAATTAATAAAATTTAAAATAAAATTTAAAAACAAAAAGTTAATTTAAAAAAAATTTAAAAACAATTTAAATAAAAATTAGAAACAAAAAATTAAACAATAAAAAAATTGTTTTTTACAAAAAAAAAACTCCCGACTGCTGCCTAAACTAGGTTAAATTAAATGCAGAAAATAAAAATTAATAAAATTTAAAATAAAATTTAAAAACAAAAAATTAAACAATAAATAAAAATTAGAAACAAAAAATTAAACAATAAAAAATTGTTTTTTAAAAAAAAAAA